CTCTCTGCCATGACAGGGGAGGTGCTGGATTCCCCTCTCCCTGCTCCGATCCTCAAGCGCTGACCGGCGGGATGGACAAGGGAGGGGGCGGGTACAGCCTCTAGATAGGCAGAGCCAGCTGTCACTCACGCAGCTGGGGGGATCCAGACATAATTGTGGGGATCAGCTGCGGCGTCTCAGTATACCGCGAGCTGCAGCTCCCTATATACTGAGCCTGGGGTGACGGGAGGACGCTAGTTTGTGTCCTCCCGTTACCCTTAGGAGAACTATGGGGAAAAGCCCTGACCCCATACTTCTCTAAGTAGACTTACCCTTTAAATATTAAATTCTCTGGATTTCCTTCCTTCACGTGTCCCTACAGTAAACCTGATTTTATCACTTTTATGGCATTTCCTGTGGGTTGGCGATTGCATGGATAGTGAGAAGCATTAGAAATCACTTCAATTCAGGGGTAGCCAACCAGCGGTCCTCCAGCTGTGGTGAAACTACAAATCCCATGATGCATCTCTCTCTCTCCAGGAGAGTCGTGTCTGTGAGAATGTTGCAATGCCTCATGGGATTTGTAGTTCCACCGCAGCTGGAGGACCGCTGGTTGGCTACCTCCTGCTTTTAATTGACCTTTTCATGGTCTTCCCTCTTCCCCCAACAGTCGTACTGCGAGCCGCAGAGCTACCGTCCTATGCTGCACGAGGATTTCCGGGAGGACCTGCGGAAATTTCGCATGAAAAGCCGGACCTGGGCCGGGGAGAGGAGCAAGCGAGAGCTGTACAGTCGCCTGAAGAAGCTGTGAGATGTCAATGGGGTGGTTTTTGTTTGTTTTTTTTAAATCCTGCTGAGCGGGACAAGATGGCGACTTATTACAGCGACGCTCCGGATGCGTCGGATTTGCACAGAGTTCTGGGAAATTGATACGATGGGCATCTGTTAGGACTGGAGACTTTGACCGGTACCGGGGACTGCCTGGAGCAGACGCGTATATATACACCGTTGGACGCTGTAACCAGACCGATCACTATTCCAGAATTAACCTTTGCGAGGTCGACCGTCTGCAGGTGGCGGCGGGGCGGGTGTCTGGTACCGGGGGCATGACCGAAGATGCAAATCTGCGTGCACCGTGATGAGCCAAGTGGAGCGGAGATGGCACTGTTGCCCATAGCAACCGTCAGCCTGGCTGCTATGGGTAACTGCGCTGCGATTGCTGCAAATTGACCTACTGGTAGGGACCTTATAACTGGACAGTTTCCACTCTTGGTGGCCCCTGAATGCGGCTCCTCCATGCAATCAGAGGGGCCCAACTTGTTCCTCATGTGGGAGTGGTCACAATTGACTTTTTAGGCCGATCACTCGGTTGATCGCATCTGTTCCTGACTTGTCATGTGTTTAATAAAGTTTTAATGTTTTAATCCAGCATGGCGGCTTGTATACAGGGGCCCCTCCGCCATGTTGCCTGGTATCGGGCTTGTTTAGAATCCATCTTATAACTCGGCTCTGCCCGGGAAATGTGCGGAGTTTTGTTGCCACTTCCTCTCCATTGTTACTCTGGATGCCACCGGACAGGACTTCCTTTTCCTGGGGTGGGCGGAGTTCTCGGATCACATGACTGCCTAGCGCTTTATAATGGAGAGTACAGCATGCCGCAAGGACGATGACTGCCAGACTGTGCCGATCTTTCTGCAACATCGCCCGTCCAAGACAAAACCACTTCAGCTCTGTGCGGACGCTTCATCGGACATTAGTTTGCCCCATCAAGATGCCCGGAGAGGACTCTTTAACGCTTGTGTGATGAGCCTATGATGGAAGCTGCCATTCCTTTTAACTTAAGTCCCTGACCTGGGATCACAATGCTTCACAGCTCCTAGATGTACGCCGTGCACATTCACGAAACGGAGGCTTCTTTCGGGGCCTTGTCACACAGGGGTGTGGGAGATGGGCTCTTTATCCCAGAGCTGTGTGGTTCTTGTGCTGATCCTATGGGTTGGGGGGAGGGGAATGATCTGCTTTGTCACGGTCTTGTATCATTTTTGCAATGTTGTGAATACAAGTGATATATGTATTGTGCTGACCAGTTATGGGACCTCTGTGGTCACAATGTCCTGTAGGGAAATAACATGTTATCCATTCTTCCTTATACAGGATAATAAATGCCATGAAACCTCCATGACCCGTGTCACCCGTCTCCTTGTACCACGTCCACATGTCACCCGTCTCCTTGTACCACGTCCACATGTCACCCGTCTCCTTGTACCACGTCCACATGTCACCCGTCTCCTTGTACCACGTCCACATGTCACCCGTCTCCTTGTACCACGAAGTATATGTGGTGGCCATACGGATGGTGCCGTGCAAAACACTAATGGTAAATAAAAGTGGTTCCCCGGCGCACACTTGCAGCAAACGAGCCGGCCTCCTGGCCAATCGGAAAGCAGGGTGCCCCGTCATTACACGGGCGCCCGGCTTCCATGATTAGCCAGCAAGACGGCTCCGGCGGGGTACCGGAGGAAGGCCGCTCCTGGCTGGAGAGGACACGGGGGTGACGGGCTGGACGTGCCGAGGGGGGACAGATCTGCACTGATCATATAATTATGGGGATTCGTATGGGACGGCTTTCTTGTTAATTTTATTATTTCGGCACCTAGACACAGACTCGTCCGCAGCTCTGAGCCGGCTGTCGCCCCGCTACCTCCAGCCCGTCCCGTCTCTCCCCCACCCCCCTCCCTGCGGCACTGAAATCTTCCACGGCATCCTCATGTCCATACCCCTGTATATATCTGGTGATTTACGACACCTTAGAACTTGAGTAAACAAGCATATAATGTGTATCGGTAAACACAGACACCGAGATCGCGAGGCTTCAACACAGCCGACAAGCTGCATAGCCCTCTTGGTTCATGCGTTTCAGAGGACACGCCTCCTTCCTCAGAACCAATGCTCTGAAACGCGTCAACCACGCGGGCTATGCAACTTGTCGGCTGTGTTGGAGCCTTGTGATCTCGGTGTCTGTGTTTACCGATACACATATGCTTGTTTACTCAAGTTCCTATGTGAGTGTTTGTTTTTTTTTTTACTCCTTTCATATCGTCATAATAAAACTGTTTTGCACCATGGAGGCGCTCTCTTTTCCTTTCAGCCCTTGTGGTTACCAACCCCCCCCAACCAGCGTGAGCAGCCTCCAGAGTGCATCATTACACCTTTTCCACACAGGCATTGGCGGCGGCGCCTGTGGTATTAACTCTCTTATGAAGGTATCCAAATGCTTTTTGACTGAATCAATACTCTCAGCTGATACCGCTGCTTGCGGCAGAGAGTTCCGAAATGTAACCGCTCTGACTGAGAAGCCCCTACGCCCCTTGTGGCGGCCTCTAGTCCTGGAGTGTAAAGTAAAATGTGTATTGCTGATGTCACCACCACCAAATATCTTGTACATCAGTCCCCTCCTAATCTCCTCACCTCCAGCGTGAACATGTTTACATTTAGTAGCCTCGTCTCGTAGCTCTGGTCCTCCATCCCCTCCTCGTCTCGTAGCTCTGGTCCTCCATCCCCTCCCTCCTCGTCTCATAGCTCTGGTCCTCCATCCCCCTCCCTCCTCATCTCATAGCTCTGGTCCTCCATCCCCTCCCTCCTCGTCTCATAGCTCTGGTCCTCCATCCCCTCCCTCCTCGTCTCATAGCTCTGGTCCTCCGTTCCCTCCCTCCTCGTCTCAGAGCTCTGGTCCTCCGTTCCCTCCCTCCTCGTCTCAGAGCTCTGGTCCTCCCTCCTCGTCTCATAGCTCTGGTCCTCCGTTCCCTCCTCCTCATCTCAGAGCTCTGGTCCTCCATCCCCTTAATGAGTTTGGTTGCCCTCCGCTGGACTCTCTCCAGCTATAGGACATCCTTTCTGAGTACCGGTGACCAAAACTGGACCGCGTACTCCAGATGAGGCCGAACCAGCGATCTGTAAAGTGGCAGAATTATCGCTTTGGCTCTACGGTACATTCCCTTCATAATACAGGACAAGACTCTGCTCGCTGTGTGTGCCGCGGCCTAAACCATCCAGTATAAACCATTCCTTGCTCCAGTTGGTGGTCTTCCCACGCTATGGCCGGGGACGTTCCCCAGAAAAACAATCACCGGAGCTTCCACTGAGAATCAGACTGACCATAGCATGGCAAGTTTTAAATGTACATAGACACGCTTAGCACACAGTAGCTACATATACCAGGTGAACCCCGGGGTTCCTGGAACCCAACTTATGGTAAACGTCACCTCCCAGGAGCCTCCTGATCCAATCACTGGCCTGGCAAAGTCCACTTTTCTAGGTCACAAAGAAGGGCAATGTGCACATTATACGCTCACAACGTGTCTGGGTCCATGAGAGGCACCATTACCACCTCCATGTGCCAGTTCATAGGCCGAGTGGTCGGGTATTCCAACCTCCACACTGCAGGGAACACTGAGGACAATCTACCACATAGATGTCATAGTGTCTGAGGGCTTAGTCACATGTCCCTGCCCCGATCAGTGTATTTCCTGTGGCAGTTGCGTCTGATCAGCTGCGGCCAGGAAGCCTGTACAGACCAATGCTGACATTGTCCATGGCTATTGGCTCAAGGAGAGATAGGCCGCTGCAACCAGCACCAGCAGGGAGAGGAGACTGCGGCCGGTGACTCTGAAATCCCTTGCTGCTCCCCCCCTCATACCTCAGCTGCCAGCAACTAATCGAAAATCAACTAATCGATGATGGAAATAGTTGCCAACTATTCTCAGCATTGATTTTAATCGATTAGTTGTTGCAGCTCTAGTTGCAACAGCGTGGAAAGCAATGTAGGGCTCGGGGTAAGAGACGAGGCCGGATATACTCGCAGGACCCAGGCAGCCGGGGATTAGTGAAGGTTGGATGGCTGGAGATGACCAAGGCCACTGTCGGTGGGCAGCAGGAATCCGCTGAGGTTTTGTGGCTCTTTGGAAGCAGCAGCAGCAGGTCAATACTGCCGCGATGTCGTATGGCAGGGAAGAGCATGCCACCCAGCAGATGATATCAGCGCTCAGTCCCATACCATTAACCCCTTCTTTGGCAGAACCACCGATGTACTTGTGGTAGCTCCCGGCGCTCGGCCCAACCATCTCATTCACACCAGGGCCAGCTGATATGGTTCTCCTTGTTATATATCACACGGAATAAAGTATAAATCATCCCAGTAATCAATCCCTAATAAGTATGGATGCACCGATACCAGTGCCGATACCGGGCACTTCCATGAGCACTCGTACTCATGTTTTATGGATTCGGCTACCATACATTCCCGCGCTTGCTGGGGACCTTGCGTCGGCTGTTTATAGCGCTGGTCCAGCCATACATCTCCTTCCCGCCGACCACACAGCCATTATGAGACGGCACAACCCTGGTGAGACCGCGCACAGACCTGGTGAGACCGCACGTAGCCCTGGGAACACTGCACAGCCTCCTGAGACGCTGCATAGCCGTGGTGAGGAACACAGAGTATGTAGCTTCATATTATTCTGAATTGTTGCACAATGGATTGCTGGGATTTGTAGTCCTTCTACAGCCTGGAGTCAGTGGCAGAACTTCCAGGGTCATAGCGGGTACAGCTGGGACCGAGCCCTGGAGCTCCACCACTGTCCTAAAATCATTTGTCTGCATTGTTATAGAAAAATTGTCACATGACACCAAAAAAGTATCGGCAATTGGTATCGGTGAGTACTTGAGGGGGAGGAGTATTGGAACTCGGTCTGGAGAGGATGGTATGGGTGCATCCCTAATATCCACCAATGACTCCGCCCACACAGGACGCGTTCTATGAGGGATTCATTCTTTTATTCCTTATTCTCTCTCCGTCCTCCTGGGTGACATCATTATTTACTGGGATTGTAACATTCTTGTGACATCACTTCCTGGAATTCATTTTCTTTATTGTTACTTTGTATCTGCATTGTAGATGTTTCTTTATGAATGACTCAGAGTCCCCCTAGTGGTGGAACTTTAATATAACATCCTCCAGGTGACTGTCATTGTCATTTTGGGGTCATTGTCATGCTGAAAGACCCGCCCACGACCCATCTTCAGTGTTCCGGCTGAGGGAAGGAGGTTCTCCTCCAAGATTGTACAATACGTGGCCCCGTCTATTGGCCCCTCAATGCGGCAACGTCGGCCTGTACCTTTAGCAGAGAAACAGCCCCAAAGCATAATGTTCCCCCCTCCGGGCTGGACTGTAGGGACGGTGTTCTTAGGGTCATAGGTCACCATTGTTCTTCCTCCAATCATGGCGAGTTGAGTTCATGCCAAAGAGCTGAATTTTGGTGTCATGTGACCGCAGCACTTCCTCCCAATCCTCTGAATCATTGAGATGTTCATTGGCAGACTTCAGACGGGCCTGCACATGGGCGTTCCTGAGGAGGGGGACGGGCCCGTACATGGGCCTTCCTGGGGAGGGGCCTGTACATGGGCCTTCCTGAGGAGGGGGAGGGGCCTGTACATGGGCCTTCCTGAGGAGGGGGAGGGGCCTGTACATGGGCCTTCCTGAGGAGGGGGACCTTGCGGGGGCTGCAGGATCTCAGCCCATGGCGGGGTATTGTGTTCGCAATGGTGTGTTTGGTGACTGTGGTCCCAACTGCCTTGAGATCATTCACAAGCTCCTCCCCCCCGTGTAGTTCTGGGCGGATCCCTCACTTTTCTCATCCTCACCCCATGAGGGGAAATCTTGCATGGAGCTCCAGACCGAGGGCCAATGGTGGGTATTTTGTATTCCTTCTCCCCGAGCTTCTTGCTGAGAGTCTTGTAGCCCATTGCAGCCTCGGGCAGGGCCGCGGTCCCTGACATCCTCTGACAGCTCTGTGGTCTTGCCCATGGTGGGGGAGGTGTGATGGAAGAAAGAGATTCTATGGACAGGTGACGTAAGGAGCACCTTCTTCTTATTACGTCTCCGATGATACAAATTATAGGCCTTTCATTTCTCTGTCATCTGCAGAGGAGCCAATCATTATTTCCCTCGCTGTATATTGCCAGCATCGGTGGTCAGTGGGTGGAAGAAATGGCCAATGGGGGTGGTCAGTGGGTGGAAGAAATGGCCAATGTGGGTGGTCAGTGGGTGGAAGAAATGGCCAATGTGGGTGGTCAGTGGGTGGAAGAAATGGCCAGCATCGGTGGTCAGTGGGTGGAAGAAATGGCCAATGTGGGTGGAAGAAGTGGTCAGTGGGTGGAAGAAATGGCCAATGTGGGTGATCAGTGGGTGGAAGAAATGGCCAATGTGGGTGGTCAGTGGGTGGAAGAAATGGCCAGCATCGGTGGTCAGTGGGTGGAAGAAATGGCCAACGTCAGTGGGAGGAAGAAATGACCAACGTCAGTGGGAGGAAGAAATGGCCAATGTTGGTGGTCAGTGGGAGGAAGAAATGGCCAATGTGGGTGGTCAGTGGGAGGAAGAAATGGCCAATGTGGGTGGTCAGTGGGTGGAAGAAATGGCCAGCATCGGTGGTCAGTGGGTGGAAGAAATGGCCAATGTGGGTGGTCAGTGGGTGGAAGAAATGGCCAATGTGGGTGGAAGAAATGGCCAGCATCGGTGGTCAGTGGGTGGAAGAAATGGCCAACGTCAGTGGGAGGAAGAAATGGCCAATGTGGGTGGTCAGTGGGAGGAAGAAATGGCCAACGTCAGTGGGAGGAAGAAATGGCCAATGTGGGTGGTCAGTGGGTGGAAGAAATGGCCAATGTGGGTGGAAGAAATGGCCAGCATCGGTGGTCAGTGGGTGGAAGAAATGGCCAACGTCAGTGGGAGGAAGAAATGACCAACGTCAGTGGGAGGAAGAAATGGCCAATGTTGGTGGTCAGTGGGAGGAAGAAATGGCCAATGTGGGTGGTCAGTGGGAGGAAGAAATGGCCAATGTGGGTGGTCAGTGGGTGGAAGAAATGGCCAGCATCGGTGGTCAGTGGGTGGAAGAAATGGCCAATGTGGGTGGTCAGTGGGTGGAAGAAATGGCCAATGTGGGTGGTCAGTGGGTGGAAGAAATGGCCAATGTGGGTGGTCAGTGGGTGGAAGAAATGGCCAATGTGGGTGGAAGAAATGGCCAGCATCGGTGGTCAGTGGGTGGAAGAAATGGCCAATGTGGGTGGAAGAAATGGCCAGCATCGATGGTCAGTGGGTGGAAGAAATGGCCAATGTGGGTGGTCAGTGGGTGGAAGAAATGGCCAATGTGGGTGGAAGAAGTGGTCAGCATCGGTGGTCAGTGGGTGGAAGAAATGGCCAATGTGGGTGGAAGAAATGGCCAGCATCGATGGTCAGTGGGTGGAAGAAATGGCCAATGTGGGTGGTCAGTGGGTGGAAGAAATGGCCAATGTGGGTGGAAGAAGTGGTCAGCATCGGTGGTCAGTGGGTGGAAGAAATGGCCAATGTGGGTGGAAGAAATGGCCAGCATCGATGGTCAGTGGGTGGAAGAAATGGCCAATGTGGGTGGTCAGTGGGTGGAAGAAATGGCCAATGTGGGTGGAAGAAGTGGTCAGTGGGTGGAAGAAATGGCCAATGTGGGTGATCAGTGGGTGGAAGAAATGGCCAATGTGGGTGGTCAGTGGGTGGAAGAAATGGCCAGCATCGGTGGTCAGTGGGTGGAAGAAATGGCCAATGTGGGTGGTCAGTGGGAGGAAGAAATGGCCAACGTCAGTGGGAGGAAGAAATGGCCAATGTGGGTGGTCAGTGGGTGGAAGAAATGGCCAATGTGGGTGGAAGAAATGGCCAGCATCGGTGGTCAGTGGGTGGAAGAAATGGCCAATGTGGGTGGAAGAAATGGCCAGCATCGGTGGTCAGTGGGTGGAAGAAATGGCCAATGTGGGTGGTCAGTGGGTGGAAGAAATGGCCAATGTGGGTGGTCAGTGGGTGGAAGAAATGGCCAATGTGGGTGGTAAGTGGGTGGAAGAAATGGCCAATGTGGGTGGTCAGTGGGAGGAAGAAATGGCCAACGTCAGTGGGAGGAAGAAATGGCCAACGTCAGTGGGAGGTAGAAATGGCCAATGTGGGTGGTCAGTGGGAGGAAGAAATGGCCAACGTCGGTGGTCAGTGGGAGGAAGAAATGGCCAACGTCGGTGGTCAGTGGGAGAAGGGCATGGGGTTCCCCCTTAAGATCTCTACCAGTCTCCTCCTGGTGCACCGGGACAAGCAATGATGTTATCTCATGTTAGGATGCTACGGCCGGCCCGCACAGTGTCCTAGGTTGCTTGGATGAAGGAGGCCACTTGTGTCCTAGAAAGCAAGGAGCAGGAAGTGATATCATCATGAAATGAATGACTTCCAGGACCCAGAGGTCCGGCGGGCCGGTGAATTGGCCATCGAGTTCACCCGTGAACTGCAAACATGTAACGTTCGGATGGGACTCTACACACACCCCCCCTCCCCCCAGTGATACCCAACAAGGAACATTCCTGTACACACGCATACATGACCACACATGGTATGACCACAGATGGTTAATAATACGTTTTTCTGTTTATTTGTAGACATAACATCATTATTTGTGTTTCTTCACCTATAAATGTCTCGTGTCAGGTGTTCTACATCTCAGAGGCGTGGCTCCGCCTATGTCTGATGAGGGCGGTCTGGTACCTGAACACCCTGTCGCACTCTGTACATTTAAAGGGCATTTCCCCGGTGTGGATCCGCTGGTGGACGGCCATGTTGCACTGCTGGCTGAAGCGCTTGCCGCACTCGGGGCAGGCGTAAGGGCGTTCCCCGCTGTGGATCCTCTGGTGGATCGTCAGCTTCGAGCGTTTGATAAAGCTTTTGCCGCACTCACCGCACACGTAAGGCTTCTCCTCGGTGTGGGTTTTGCGGTGCTCCGTCAGGCGGGACCATTGGATGAAGGCCTTATCGCACTGCGAGCACTTGAAGGGGCGCTCGCCGGTGTGCGTGCGAAGGTGGACCACAAACTTGGATTTCTCCAGAAAGGTTTTGTCGCACTCGCTGCAGCTGTACTGCTTCTCCGGGGGCCACACAGCCGCCAGGTACTGACTCAAGGGGGACCATGGAAGATATGCATCTTCTAAATCATCCGTGACATCCAGATCATTCTCGGGATCAGCTGTCCGAGCCGATGCAGGTTCCAGTCCACTCTCACTTCCTTTAGTGGCATCGTCAGAGCAGGAGGTGTGGAGGTCCAGGAACCGCTGATCTTTCTGGGAGGTCGTCTCCTTTAAGTCAGAGCAGGAGGTATGGAGGTCCAGGAACCGCTCATCTTTCTGGGAGGTCTTCTCCTTTAGGTCAGAGCAGGAGGTATGGAGGTCTAGGAACCGCTGATCTTTCTGGGAGGTCTTCTCCTTTAAGTCAGAGCAGGAGGTATGGAGGTCCAGGAACCGCTGATCTTTCTGGGAGGTCTTCTCCTTTAGGTCAGAGCAGGACGTATGGAGCTCTAGGAACCGCTGATCTTTCTCTGAGGTCTTCTCGTTTAGGTCAGAACAGGAGGTGTGGAGGTCCAGGAACCGCTGATCTTTCTGGGAGGTCTTCTCCTTGATATCAGAGCAGTTCTGTGGCTCATGAGTTGTCCTCCCGGAGAGGTCATGGTGGTTCATTTGTTGTGGTGCTTGAGGAGCCTTTTTGTACACATCAGGGCCGTTCATTGGTTGGCGCTCAGGAGAAGTCTCCTTGCATAGGTCTATGTTATTATGTGGTTGTGATTCATGACGGGTTCTCCTGCACACGGAAAGGATATCGGGTGAATGTGGTTCATTAGGTGAATGTGGTCCATCAGGTGTCTTGTTATGGATCTCATGGATGTTCAGCTCTTGTGGATCACAACGGTGCTTCTTGTAAAGGGCGAGACCTTTTGTCGGCTTAGGCTCACAAGGTCTACTCTTGCCCAAGTCAAGGCCATTCATTGGTTGTAGTTCCTGTTGGGATTTGCATACGTCCTGGGTGTTATGTTCTCTCTCAGGAGAAGACTTCTTGCATTCATGGTGGACATTCCGTGGTTGCTGTTCATGATTGTCCTTCTTGCATACATCAAGGTCACTGGATGGTTGAGTTTCACGATTGCCCTTCCTGCATGCATCAGAAATATTTCGCGGTGGTGGCCTATGCCTGGCCTTCCGACGTCTGTCTTGTCCCCCCTGTGGCTGGTGAACCTTCATGTGAAGTTTAAGGTTGGAGTTCTGGCTGAAGGCTTTGTCGCATAAAGAGCACCTGTAAGGTTTTTCCCCCGAGTGGGATCTTTGGTGGACCACAAGAGCGTAATGTTGGCTAAAACTCTTTTTGCACTCGTCGCACCTGAACGGCTTTTGCCTGGTATGCGTCCGTTGGTGTCCCACAAGATTGGACTGCTGGCTGAAGCTCTTGCCGCACTCTGAACACTTGTACGGCCGTTCCCCGGTGTGGACGCGGAGGTGGACAATGAGTTTGGACATTTTGATGAAGCTTTTGTCGCACTCGGTGCACCGGAACGGCCTGTCCCCAGAATGAGTCCTCTGGTGCTCCACCAGGTTGGACGGGTAGTGGAAGGTCTTGTCGCACTGGTCGCATTTATAAGGCTTGTCGCCGTTATGGATGCGCAGGTGTTCTTTAAGGTGAGACCTCTTGGTGAAGCCTTTGCCGCACACCGAGCACTTAAACGGTTTCTCTCCCGTGTGAGTCCTGATGTGTTCCACCAGCTTTGAGCGTTGGTTGTAGCTTTTCTCGCACAGCGTACACTTGTACGGCCTGTCCTCTATGTGGCATTTCCTGTGCACCACCAGCTGCGCCCTTTTGGTGAAGCTCCTCCCACATTCAAGGCACTTGAAGATCTTCTCTCCGGTGTGGGTCCTCTGGTGCAGAGAGAGGACCGAGCGGTTGATAAAAGTTTTGTCGCAGTTATTGCACTTGAAGACCTTTCCGTCGGGAGCAGCGGACTGGGAGGGAACTGGTTTGACCGGGCTCCGGACATTTTTCTGGTCGCGGGCCTTCTTCTGCGAGGCTTCTTCTGCATCCGCACGTTTGGTCTTCTCCTGGTCGTGGGTCCGTCTGTGCGCTGCGAGTTGGGACCAGCTGCCGAAGATCGTCTTACATTCCGAACACCGGTGAAGTTTCTTGGCAGACGGAGGTTTCTGGTCCTCACGTTGAGGGGCTCCATTGGTTGGACATCCTAAAGAATCGGGAGAATTGTTCTGGAACGTTCCATGGTCTTCATCGGTCTCTGAAAGACAAATAATCAGGTCACTCTCCTCCTCCAATGGTAGGCCGAGGGCCCGAGGTAGGCCGAGGGCCCGAGGTAGACCAACGGCTTCACTTACCCAACACGTCTTCAGAATATCGAACAATCCACGTGTCTTCTTCTGTGAAGACCCTGGGTGGGGGAGGGGGCTGGCGATACTCGTATCCTGTGAAGAAAGGTGACATGTTACTGAGCTGTAGAGGTTCCCCTTCACCGTATTCAAATATGTCTACCCAACATACCACCAGCCAGACGTCGTTTCATGTTTTGGATGGAGAGGGGGAAGGGGAGTAATGAGAACCCAATGCAAGGGTGCAACCCAAAAATGTGACCCCGGAGTTCAGGTCTGAAGATCCTCTATATACAGATACATACTTGTTTGTCTGCCTTCTCTTTGCCCCCTCAAGTAGGCACTCTCTGTTGGACCGCCACCCCCCTTCCCCACCAGCACCACCACCAGCACCACCACCAGCACCAGCCCCTCAGCCGAGCCCCCCGGGTTTGGGGTGGGGGATGGAAGGTATGTAATATAAATGGGATACAATACCCAATGACAGGACGGTCTCCAGATTGTCCCTCATCACCTCCCGGTGCAGTTCTCTCTGCCAGACCTCTAGATGGCGCCATTCCTCCTCCAGGAAATACACCGCCACCTCGTCAAAGGTAATGGGGACCTGCAAGCCAGAGAACAACACTGACAACATGCTGACAGCTTGTAGACGCAATCCGGTCCCCAGGGCCGGCCTTAGGCCTTAAGGCGCCTTGTGCGAGAAAGCTTTACAGCGCACCAGCCCCGGGCCCCATTCACAGGGAGATACATCTCCGGAACGTGGAGACGTTAGAGGAGGGAGCATCCCCCTAGTCATCAGTCTGCTGCAGGCAGGAGGAACCATTTCCTCAGTCTCCCCTCCCCAGTGATCAGCCTGCTGCAGGCGGGAGGAACCATTTCCTCTGTCTCCCCTCCCCCCAGTGATCAGGCTGCTGCAGGCAGGAGGAATCATTTCCTCAGTCTCAGCCAGCACTCTGCACACCCTGCAGGTCACATGACCACTTCCTCCCGCCTCACAACTACAATCCCCAGAAGCCTTTGCGGCTGAGCCCTGGTTGGCTCGGCTCCGTCATGTGACATCTGTACACACGGCCGGTCCGGCCGGGGCTCTGGGATCTCTGTCACCTTGTACAGCGCCACGGAGGAGGACGGCGCTATGCAGCTCATGTGTTGCCTTTCGATGTGTGAGACATTCTGGTCTCTGTGATCCATCAATTCCTCTCTTTGCGTGCGTTATGAAATGCGGCGTGCGGCGCGCTGTGCATGCATGTTGCGATGCGGATCGTTTGGCGCCGTGCCCACGCCGATCTTTATGTAACGCGCGCCAACGCACTCGTATGGTGTGAACAGGACACGTAGACTACAAGTGTCTCTGTGTGTCCTGCGTCGGGTCTGCGCTCGTCAACACACCCGGAGTGAACGAGTCCTTAGGTCCAATTCAAACCAGACCGGTCCAATGCGGTGCGTCAAACGCACGGACGTTACCAATCAGATGTCCAATGTGCCGCGGGTCACGCATGCAGAGTTTTCGGGTAGCGCCCGTCGGTGTGTTGACATGTTTGCGCCGCGCTGCAACACGCGTCCATCATCAAGGTGTGTTGGGGTTCTGTTCAGAGCAGTGCTCCGCCCCCTCCTGTAATAAAGACCGGTCACTGCAGCTCTCTCTCCTTGTGCAGGGTGACTGGTCTTGTCTCCGCCCCCTCCTGTAATAAAGACCGCTCACTGCGGCTCTCTCTCCTTGTGCAGTGTGACTGGTCTTGTCTCCGCCCCCTCCTGTAATAAAGACCGCTCACTTCAGCTCTCTCTCCTTGTGCAGGATGACTGGTCTGGTCTCCGCCCCCTCCTGTAATAAAGACCGGTCACTGCTGCTCTCTCTTCTTGTGCAGGGTGACTGGTCTGGTCTCCGCCCCCTCCTGTAATAAAGACCGGTCACTGCTACTCTTTCCTTGTGCAGGGTGACTGGTCTAGTCTCCGCCCACTTCTGTAATAAAGACCACTCACTGCTGCTCTTTCCTTGTGCAGGGTGACTGGTCTAGTCTCCGCCCACTTCTGTAATAAAGACCGGTCACTGCAGCTCTCTCTTGTGCAGGGTGACTGGTCTCGTCTCCGCCCCCTCCTGTAATAAAGACCGCTCAATGCTACTCTTTCCTTGTGCAGGGTGACTGGTCTAGTCTCCGCCCACTTCTGTAATAAAGACCACTCACTGCTGCTCTTTCCTTGTGCAGGGTGACTGGTCTAGTCTCCGCCCACTTCTGTAATAAAGACCACTCACTGCTGCTCTTTCCTTGTGCAGGGTGACTGGTCTCGTCTCCGCCCCCTCCTGTAATACAGACCGCTCACTGCTGCTCTCTCTTCTTGTGCAGGGTGACTGGTCTAGTCTCCGCCCACTTCTGTAATAAAGACCGCTCACTGCTGCGCGCTCTCCTTGTGCAGGGTGACTGGTCTGGTCTCCGCCCCCTCCTGTAATACAGACCGCTCACTGCTGCTCTCTCTTCTTGTGCAGGGTGACTGGTCTGGTCTCCGGGACATCAGGGGGGAGGGGATGCTGGACTTGGTCTTCTTATCTTCTATGCCCCCCTGTGACCTGTCAGGACCGGACCCACACAGTACCATGGTCTGGACTTTTATTTACAATTTGATTTAACCCTTTAGTGAATGGGTACAAGTTACTCATTCACAAGGGGGGGGAGGGCATCTGGGTGCCCCTTTATTAAAGGGAATTTTAGGGGGGACCCCACGTTTCCCCCTCCTCCATTTTGGGGGGTGTGGTTCCTCCTTCAAATTCCTACCAGACTTTAAGGGGGGAACCCCATACACTTTTTTTTTTATGGGGTCCCTCCTAAATATTCCTACCAGACCTGAAGGGTCCGGTATTGTTTGGGAGGGGGAAGGGCACGCTTTAAGAATAAAAAAAAAATGTCCTTTTGTTTTTTTCTTTAGAAATGTCAGTTTTGCTGCAGCAGGTTCTACACATCGTACTGATCCCCCACTTCACAGGCAGTCTGAGGGGACACCCCAGGCACCATATTTAGAGGAATGTTTCATTTTTATTCTTTCCCTTTAAGTCATGTTATAAACACGGCTCCCCTGTCCCCCAGGGCAGTACCCGGACCCCCATACATGTCCCCCAGGGCAGTACCCGGACCCCCATACATGTCCCCCAGGGCAGTACCCGGACCCCCATACATGTCCCCCAGGGCAGTACCCGGACCCCCATACATGTCCCCCAGGGCAGTACCCGGACCCCCATACATGTCCCCCAGGGCAGTACCCGGACCCCCATACATGTCCCCCAGGGCAGTACCCGGACCCCCATACATGTTTTATAGTCAATAACTTGCATATAAGCACTCTTAAAGGGGAAAATTGTTTTTGAAAGCTCCACCCCCTCCCCCCATAGACTTGCATTGAGCTCGAGTACAAATTCAAACTTTTTGGGTGTTCTAAATTTCGAATTCGAACCGAACTCGGGGCCCGGCCCGTCCCTAATGACTAATCCCAAACCCCCCGGAAAGGCAGCTGGAGGAGCCACGTATCATAGGACCTGCTGAGGGATCTCTGAGCCTCCAGAGCTGTTCAGGTAACATACAGCAGGTGATGGGGGGTGAATAGTTTTAGAGGTCGGGATGTGAATTCGAGAGGCGTGGCTTACCTTGTTCAATAAATAAGCCACACCCACAATCCTTCCCTCTCCGTTTGCAGGAACGTGAATGGGCTTCGCGGGTCTCTACCTTTGTGGGACTGAAGAAGCAGAGCAGAGGGGGTGAAAAAAATGCAGCTTTTATTGTCAGGGCCGAATGGGGGGGGGGGGGGGGC